ATTGTCTAATAATAATAAAATCATTCACGGATCGCTTATATACGATGATTACTTACGATTATTTAGGAATGCGATGAAATATGAAGATTTATCATTGTGGAAAATGAAATTACTTTAATATTTTAGCGATTGAATATATAAGATAGGATATAAACGCGATAGATAGAATAGATTCGTTATCAAAAATATAAAAAAACACATGTCATAAAATAATTTTGTGAGAAACACTTTAAATAATTGATTTTTTTTACAAGAAACATTTGAAGATAAATATGTTTAAAAAGTGAAAACATTATCTACATTTTGAAAAGCATAATTTCTAATAACGTTAAGATTATTTTAATCGAATATAATCAATTTTTTTTTTAATAAATTTCTAAAAATTGTTCAATCAAATTTGAGTCAAAACTAGATGCACTAATTTAACTATTTTATGAAATGATACAAATATACTTACAACGTGCACAGATTCCAATGTGTATTTATCGTTGTCATTTGTCGAGGAACAAAATTGTAACAATAGATTTAAAATTAAAATTATTTGCAAATATCTTTCTTTATCAGCCATTTTTCGCGTTAATATTAAAATTTTTAAAATAATAACATTTAAATCAATGTCATAAAATTAATAGAAAAAATTAATAGAAAAAAAAATTATTTTTTTTTTTTTTTTTATAGAAAAAGTGCTTACTTCTCACCTGAACGAGAAGCACTATTTATTTTAACGAATGCAATGATATTTATAATTCATTATAAAGATAATAATTCGAATAAGCGAAAGAAAAAGGGGAAGATAAATCGGACGAAGATAAATTAATATCAAAATATATATGTATATATATATATATTGTATATACATATATATGTATATATAAATATCAAGATTAAAATGTTTCCATATCTTGATATAAGTAATAATTCATTTAAAGAGAAAGATTCGATAAATTAAACAAATGATATAACGAACAAATAATTTTATAATCTAGTAGTAGTAACTATTAATTATCTATAATATGTATTTCTTATTTTTTTTAATAAATATAATAATGTTCTATCACATTTTCTTTTTGTCTTTCTTTCGAGATATATCGAGTCTGTGAATTTTTATTTTTAATATGTAAAAAAAAAAAAAGAAAAATCTCATAAAAATCAATTATTGATTGATAATATTAAATCATTATCGTCTCAAGTATTTACAACAGCAGATGGTATTTATACATTTCGCTGGAATTATTTTTGATATTATATTCAAGAAATTTATAGTTTTTTCATTAGTGTAATATTTCAACATTGGAAAGTTCATAAGCAATGAAAAGCAATTAAAATAATAATAAAAATATTAAAAATAATAATAAAATAATTAAAATAATAATTTCTTTTTATCAATCCTATTTATACTTTATTTATCCACCTTTAAGCAAGATGAATTTTCAATTAAATTTTTAATCTATTCTTGATATAAGGTTTAAATTGGCTTAAGAATATGGATTAAGAAATCGAGCATGCTCGAGCGTTTAAAAAAGTAGTTAAAAATAAATTATCAACGACAAGATAAATATTTCTAATATTAGTTATATCTATGTTATATTCGTTTAAAAAATACGAAAATCAAAAGATAAATGGGAAAATGAAAATTCATATGTCGACATTTTACAAAATTGTGAAATTAATAATTATGCTTAATTAAAATATGCTAATTCTTAAAGATATTAGACAATACTAGATTTTCTAAAACAAATATCTTTCTTTTTCTTTACTTAACCTTGATGAGATGTGTTTTTTCACATCTTAAAGTTTACGTCCAATCATTTTCAAGAAGAGTTTTCGTTGAGAAATCGCGACATCTGATTGGCAATTTTAACAATTATTTTTCTGCAAAAAATATTAGATAATACTAGATTTTCTAGAGCAAATATCTCTTTTTCTCTTTACTTAACCTTGATGAAATGTGTTTTTTCACATCTTAAAGTTTACGTCCAATCATTTTCAAGAAGAGTTTTCGTTGAGAA